CTCTTTTAAGTATGTCTGAATAAATTACAAACATTATGTCTGCTAATTTTGAACAAAATCCGTTCATACTCACGAATAACCTTCCGTCTATTGATGTTAAAGGATGAGAGAAATGTGCTATTTTGATAAAAAAAAAATATATAGAAATGGATTTTGCTAAAAATTAGGAGACATAATGTCTGTAATTTATTCAATCACACACACACACACACACACACACACACACACACACACATATATATATATATATATGTGTCTGATTGAATAAATTACAGACATATATATATATATATTAAAAAATATACATAATACTCTACGTTGATTGCACAACACGGTGTTTCATGCTATTTGCAATCTTCAGGTGCAACTTTGGGATTTAGACCTTGTGTTTAATACTTCTGGTTATCGTGAGATATTTTATTATTAGTGTGGATTATTATTGTTGCTAAGTGTTTAAATAAATTGTAGTTTAATTTTGTATTTGAATTTAGGCCCAGATTAACATTTAAGTTTGAAAATAAGATTGAAAATAAGAATGATAAATTTTAATTTAAAAACAGACGCTGTCAGTAAAAAATTGAGCCCAGTTTTTTCTTACACTATAAGGTATATATATGTATTTGTATACGAACGTTTGTTCATGCATTTACCTATATTTATCCATTTGATTATATTCATATATATATATATATATATATATATATATATATATATATATTCATACACGTTTCATTAAATAATATAGACACGAGTTGTCTATTTATTTTATGTAATATTTTTTCGTAACATCTGATAAGTTTAATAACATTATCGTTGAACAAAAAATAATTATTAGAATGTTAACCGTAATGTCAAAACTAATATCGGAAGTATTTTTCTACGTTTAATTCATAAATACTTTAACCATCCACAATAGTAAAAAAAGATTTTTAACAAAAATAATGTTACGGTCAGCTATAGCTGTGTTAATAACTTAAACACATCCATCTCCCATCATAATAACATTATATTTAAATAAACATATAACAAACAAAAACAACGTAAATTCTTCTAATAATAAATACAACTACCGAAAAAAATACGATCTGTCGCTTAACATACATTCCGGTAGCGATGATAAATTTTATTTTGGTTCCACAGAAATTCCTTGGAAATTTCGTTTTTACTATCATCGAATGACTTTAAGTCATTTAAAATACAAAAACAGCTTTGCTCTCGCCAAATATTTCTGGCAATTAAAGAATGAGGGCATCTCACCATCAATCATCTGGGAAATTATATCTAGGGATAAGGCGTATAGTAGTGAAGTAAATAAATGCAATTTATGTCTAGTTGAAAAACTGGTTATCTTAAAACACATAACCCTAGCTTATTAAACAAGAGAAATAAATTGATGGTTACATGTAGGCATAAAAATAAATACCTGCTTAAATACGTAGAACCTGATTAAGTTTTTAATATTTACTTCTTAATGTAAATTATATTTTATTTTTAATGCAAAGTACTATTTATTTATTTGAATACGAATTTTTGTTTTTTTGTTTAAATAAGAACCAATAATCTCCCTTTAATTAATTTGTTTTGAAACGTTTTCAAAAAACTAAAATATAATTTTGTAATTTCCGTTTTTTATCACATACATATATAAATCACACTTATTTTAATTGCCAAATATAATTTAAAATTTTAAAATTAAAAAAAATGTAAGCCCAGCATATATAGCTAGACTAACTTTGTGTTAATTATAAATATTATAATTCAAAATATGTTACGGCCGGTTCATACTCAGCGCCTGAAGATTGCGTCGTGCATAGTTTTGCTAGCGGTGAGGGATACAATGTATATTTATTAAGATATACTTAATAGTTCTGCTATATTATATTGAGCGCAGTTTTATTAACACCTATATGTGCGATTTACTTTGTGCCCGATGAGCTGGAAAACCAGCGAAACTTAAGTCACACTCCAAATTCTTGATATATGCATATTTATTAATATATATCTTTACTGTGTCTAGCCACATCGAACACTGTTATGTTTACACCTCATGAATAAATTTGATGATTATTTATTTGCTTGCCTGTGTATTCACGCCAACACGCGCGTATACGGTTGCTTATATCTGGTCGTTTGATTGATGTAACTCTCTCTCTCTCTATCTATCTGTCTCTCTCTCTCTCTCTCTCTCTATATATATATATATATATATATATATATATATATATATATATCTGAGCGACGTATTTCTGCCTTCCATCGGTATGGCTGATGCTGACCTCCAGGAGAGGTACTCGCTACGCCTTCTCAGGTTAACATTCTCTATTTACGTGAAGTGAAAAGACTATATTGAAAGTTAGTTCACTGTGATGTGCGAGAGAATTTTCCTCTCCAGAATCTATCCTATATATCTATAAGTCTACTATTCGTTCATGCTTAGATATTGCTTGCAACCACATATGGTCTAGTGCTCCTGCTATATATTTAGAGATTCATGGTAAATTCCAAAGAAGAATCAGCAATATTATTGGTCCTGATCTAGTGTCTCGGCTTCGGTCACTTTCCCACCACCTTAAAGTTCCTTCCCCGTCCTGGGTATGACGATAAACTACATCCGCGTCCTGGGCAAGACGATAAACCATCCAAGATTGTAAATTTCCTAAAAGAAGTTGAATTGTACTAATTGAAAAATCGTTCAAATATATATGTATAAAGTGTTGTGGAGTGGTTTCACAGTATTTGTACTAAGTTGGTCCTAAAGTAGGTTCGACGTACAAAACGTTAGGAACTTCATATAATAGGTATGACGCAGAGAAAATCTAGTTGTGGTCGCTGATACTTTAGTATTCGACTAACTGTCGTCCGACATCGACTGACTGACCGTCTCACTGAGCGACTTAGCGACTGACTCGTTACTCTTACTACTCCTACTTATTATAGGTGGGAGAGTCTATTAACTATAGAATAAGTGTGTTCCGCTATAACATAAAGACAGACCTTTTTTTACCAAACTATCGCTATGAACTTATTTCAAAAAAATTGTTGGCATTAAATGACCCACTGAGTTTGATATGCCATAAAAACAGTTCCTTCCCTGTGTCTTTTCTATAAATAGTTTCATAGAAATTGTTCGGAAGAGCTCTACGCTATGGTATCTAGGCCTAGAATTTAAGCGCAGTACTAGATTGGCAACAAGGTCTGATCAGTTTACAGTTGAATTGGCTAGATGTAACCGTAAGTTCTATGCTAACAGTTTCTTTTCTCGGTCTTCTCGCTTGTGGAACTCTCTTTCGGCTCCATGCTTCCCAGTTAAATTTGATTTCCAAAAATTAAATGCAATGTCAAACGTTGTCTACTGTCTTCCTTAATACTCTTCTATTGCTTTCGCTCCTTGGTAATGTTTCTGCTGTCTAATTCTTTCACACCCAATAACCACTTATGTCTTAGTGACTTTAGTGCTTGGAGTAATTCCAATTTAAAAAATGTATATGGCTATTACTACTACAATTCGAAAGAACCAAAATACGCGAGCCATGGTTCTAATCTAGACTTTACTTACATGGTTTTTTTACTGGAATGTAGGCGGCTTTGTTTGTTGGCGAAGATTTACAAGTTGTTTTTTTTTTTTTTTAAATAGAGAGTCTCGCGGTATTAAGTTGAAACTTTCCTGCTGCTAAAGACTTAGCAAAAAGCCTTGTTAAATATTCTTTGTTGGAATGCGCGTGTCGTGATGAAGGTTTTCTTTTGTGCATTTTGAATGGTGAAAACACGCGCGTTGCATATTGCATGACAGAAATTCTGAGAAGTGTGACGAAAAGGTTAAGACGGCTTGTGTCTGCTTCATGACTGTCGGCCGAGAAGTCAACTTTTGAAGTGCTTTCGGAGTCGCTTGTTGCGTGATGAAGGGTTTGATTGGCAACGTTTATGGAGTCGATCTTAACGTTTATTCTTGCTATGTCACTGGAAACTGATTGAGTTTGCGCTTACGCGTGCATGTGTTGGCTCTTTGATCGGAAAATTGTGGTGGGTGTCAAGAAACATTTGGGGGTGGAGAGTTCAGAAGACCATTTCCGCTGCATGTTCAAATCAATGTCGGGGTCACTAATTTCGTGAAAGGGTTGACCATTATTTACATCTGACTACAAATAAATTAAATCGAATTCTGCGATTCACCAGGGTAGAACTCGATGTGACAGCGATTCCATAAATGATCGAAAAACTCCGGAGAGCTGTTAAGCAATACCAGTTCGATATCTATCACCAGCTGATATCTCTCCAGCACGTCTCATAAATGCTCGACTGGTCTCAGGTCCGGTGAACGTGGTGGCCACGGCATTCTTTAAAGGTCTCCAGAATGCTATTCATACCAATTATAGGCGAGTTAGGTCCGATGACACGGTATATTATTTTACTATAAAGACGCTTCGTTACTGCAGTAAATGGATACCTCAAATAGCGGCAAATGGAGGTCGCAAATGGCGGCAAATGGCGGTCGCAAATGGCGGTCGCAAATGGCGGTCGCAAATGGCGGTCGCAAATGGCGTCAAACGGTCCCAAAGCATTTTCTTCTCATTTTATTCATGCATATTCTTCCCGATTGTTTGAATTTAATTTCAACCTTTAGCCTAACTTTGACAAGGCGATATTTTTGCCAGTGAAAGATAATTTATTTGGAGTCAAATGTAAATAATGGTCAACCCTTTCACGAAATTGATGACCCCGACATTGATTTGAACATGCTCATCACTTTTCGCGCTCCGATGGAGGTGGGTGAACTCAAATATTCATGGTCTGATGAAGGAACTATTAAAATCAGTCAGATAATTTCTATTGTTTGTTTATCAACTTTATTCTTCAAAAAATAAAGCACAATGACATTTTATTCAATTATATATTCACAATTATTTGCTATGACTTGTTATCATTTAACAAACAACTATTGAATAACTTTGGAATAAAAAAATGTTTCTGGCGAATTTGGTTTTTTATTAGGGAAAAGTTTATGCCCACATCACCCGGAAACACCTGTTCCCGTACGATCACCAAAGTTAAGCATAGTCTGTACCCAGATGGGTGACCACTTGGGAATACTAGGTACTGTAAGCATGGATGCGCGGGTGGTGCAATGGATAATGGCTCGGAATCGTTAATCGGAGAACAGAGTTCCAGTTCTGGTTGGGCCCGTTATATTCACTTAGGCACAAATACCCTTGGGACGATTATGAATCCACCTCTACTCCCCCAGCTATGGGTTAATTAGCAAGACTTGTATCACTACATTGTTATTATTTAAAAAAGAAAATTGTTAGAATCTAAAAATATTGTTTGGCTTTACATAACATGCAAATGAGTGATAGGCTGTAGAAAACGAATCAATCAATCAATCGATATACAATCATTAGGGAAAGATTTCCCCATCAAAACGTTTTGTAGCAACCGAAAAAGGTAATAATCGTTTGGCGCAAGATCAGGTAGATATGGCGGATTGGAGCAGAGCAGAGCAGACCGAGTTCCAAATTATTTTTCCTGTGTTATTCATGCTGTATGTGGCCTTGCGTTGTCACGGAGGAGAACAAATTTATCGACGAGCACAGGGCGCTTTTCGTTCAAGTTTTTGTAGACACGTTGCAACTGTTGAACGTATAAATGTGCATTTAGTGTTTCATTGCATTTTAAGTACTCTAAGTGAAGAATACACTGGCGAACGCACCACACGCATGACATTAACTTTCTTCCACAGAACTCAGATATTAGGGTCGGTTGTGAAGATTGTTCCTTGTCCAGTCATTGAGGTTTGCTTTGAACATTGTCGTATGTAACCCATTTTCATTACCATCAGGCTGTTGGAATAAAACGACATTGAAATTGAAATTAAATTAATATTCGAATTATATGTATCTCCCAAAGATGTTAACTATTTCTTTCTTATTGTTAAAAGCCGTTTCATTGTATTTCGTATTCTACCTATATGCAACTACTGGGTGTATTTAGTGTTTCGTTGCATTTTAAAAACTTGAATAATACCCCGAATGATCTCACCACACGCATACCATTACCTTTCTCCAATGTAGTCCACAATTTGGGATCGATTAGAGAGATTTATCCTTGCTAATCCACTAACATTTGCGTTGAACATTGTTGTATATTAACCACTTCTCATCACCTGTTATGTTATATTTAAGGAATGATTGCTTAGGATGCTACCTTCATAGCTACAATTGGTTGCTAAAAACAAATAACTTATAACCCAAACTACAGGGTTGATTAAAAAGTAACTCTCTATTTTAGATATGAGTGGCCAACCTGGAGTCCTGTGACTTTTTTCTTTGGGGATGGTTAAAGGAGAAACTCTATTATACCAAACCAAGACTTTGGAAGAACTTGAAGTGCGAATACAAGAAATTATGTCTTCCATATCACAAGAGTTCCTGGTGAAATCAGTTGATGTGATTCCTGGGCGGCTCGAGAAGCTGGTAATGAAATCTGGGGCCCATATCGAATTTTAAATAAAACTTCATGTTAAACGCTTTCCTTTCATATGCATTTCTTGTAAAAACTATAGTTAATAAATAAATTATAAGTATTTTAAAATGGGGAGTTACTTTACAATCATCCTGTAATATTTTCAGCGATGGGGAAAACTATTTAATAAATAAATAATTAAATTTTGATACTTTTAAAACTTAAAGTGTAACTTACCAAATTTCTTGAATTAATCTACATAAAAAAAATCAAGAAAAAAGGCATTATGTGTTACATTTAAAGCCACCAGTCACTCCTTCTGTTTACAGAGAGACGCTTGGTAGGACGTGTATTGATGCTAAAAGCTTCAGTTGATATTAGATACCTTACTCAGCACAGAACATGTTCGGACTATAAGACGTTGCACACTGCTGGTTTTTAATCAAATGTTCAGCTATTGCTGAGCCTGACACATTAACACACCAGTGTAAATTGTCCTCCTTTCCTTTGTGAATATTGGCTAGTTCGTGTTGATTGATCCGTGCTCCCAACCTTTGACCGGTTCTTCCTACATAGTCAATATCATACTGATGTATGAATTTGTAAATTATCTAATTAATATGATAGATAGGCAGAACATCTTTCCGGATCCGTCTCACCATTGGGGTCTGGCACCAAGACAATACGTGGATTGACAGAAAAATAACATTTTACACCAACTGAAATTTGCTTGGCAGACCTCGCACTCACCTCACCAATCCACGGTAAATGCAAAATTGCGGAGCAGCCGACTTAGGTATACGAAACTGTTGTATGTTTTTCTCTAATGCTGAACTCCACAATATTCGAAGGGTAAACCTTTTCGTTCAGAACCTTCGTAATAAAATCACTTTCTGTATCTAATTTAGTTTCGAGCATATGACCAAAGCCAATGAACCAAAGTTTTGATCAGATCACGGATTGGAAAAGGTCTAAGGTAGTCCGTTCTCAATCTTTTTTTGCCAAATTCACCCTTTTCACCAATTGCCAGAAAGTCATACCCCCATTTTTCAAGACTGCCCAACTCAAAAGGTGCATTCCAAATAATATGCATATAATACTGAAAATCTTCATTCTTTTCCATATTAGCACATAGACATTTTCACGCGTTATTTTTATGGAGTAGTTTATTTTACAGTCACGCTGAGCTGCAGAATAAAAAAAAAGTAAAAGATTTTTCCCTACCTCCCTGAAATCCCCCCGGGGTGGAGAATTCATCCCTTGGTTGAGAACACCTGTCTAAGTAATGCTAATATACAAAAATTATTAACCGAAAAAAATTTCCCGAAAAATTTTCTTATTTGTTTGAATCGAAAAAATATTGACTTTTTTTTTTAATAATTTCATGTTCACAATATCGATGCAGTGTAAAGTCGATTTCTGATTGCTTTCAGAGTTATGTGAGCTTGGTTATTCTGCGTATGAAGACAATTTTTTTAAATAAATATGTCGCGGCCGCCTTTAGCCGCTCCCTAAAACGGAAGAGAACAGGGCTTTTCGACCTTGACTTTTTGATCGTGTTCTCTACACGCTGGTAATTTAGTTTTAGAACTGAGCTAATTACTTTTTAGTTCCGTTGGTGTTACGAAACTAGTCGTAATACACCTTAGCATTTTTAGACGTTTGTTTTTTCGTAGAGAATCTCAACTCAATTTTTTGAGAGATTTTTTTTAGCATTTTTGCGAGACCATGTCTCTGGTTGGTCTTCCTTAACATAACACAGCGACTTCACGCCGAATTCATGGTTGGCACCCAGGCGTCTGAACGTTCGGCACCCAGTCGACGGTACGCAGGCTCCTGGCCTTTGTGGCCAGGACTCCCACCCAGGCTGCGTATTAAGTTACGCTCCCATTTTTTTTGTCTGCCAACTGGACGCGAGTTGGATCTTTCTCTCTTTACTTCGCCTTCTTACTTCTGGCTCCTTGCCCATGTTTCGACTCTCGGCATTCCGTCTCTACTGGCTGCCCGCACGTCGTCCATAACCTTTCCCGTTTGCACCTCGACTTCAATCCACGACACGACCGGAACGTCTGCACCTCGACTCCAATCCACGACACGACCGGAACGCCTGCAACCGACACGACCGGAATCCACGACTCCAATCCACGACACGACCGGAACGCCTGCACCTCGACTCCAATCCACGACACGACCGGAACGTCTGCACCTCGACTCCAATCCACGACACGACCGGAACGTCTGCACCTCGACTCCAACCGTCGACACGACCGGAACGTCTTCATCACGACTGCAACCGTCGACACGACCGGAACGAACGCATCTCCGTATCCCGTCGTCGACCTCAACGTCTAACCGTCGACACGACCGAAACGTCTGCACCTCGGCTCCAACCGTCGAGACGACCAATCCAACCCTCGACACGACCAGTCCGACCACCATTACCATGATTGGCAGACCAATATACCCCACTGTCTCTTCTTTATATGATAAACTTAGCATTAATCATACATATCCTCGTTCTGTTGTCCATTTTGTTTCACCTTGTCAGATTTAACGTCTTTAATTCGAAAATATTAGCGGGCCTCTTGTGACCTTCATCACCTACGATACGGGGACGCTCAGGCCGTGGTTTCATATCGCGCCCCTTCTAGGGGGTCCGCTACAAATATTTCCTTTAAATAAAAAACAAATGGAAACAAATGCATATATAAAATATAAGAGCAACATTACATACATTAATAAAAGTATGTATCTGTTTATTCCTCATTTAAGATAAATAATAATTATCCCACAATATATTTGCATGTCCGTCTATACCTGTTTTAACATATTTTTTAAGTAAAAAAAAAAAGCAAACAAAAACTGGGGGAAAAATTTTTGAATATTCAGAAAATTAAAAAGTAAGTGCAGATATAAATGAAATACAAGCAGTTTCAAACATGGCATTTGTAGTTGGTTTAGTGGTTTTGTTTAGCGTCATATAAACCTGTATGGGTTTTTTTTTAATGCCGAAATCTAAATATTTCTAAGCAACGATAAACATGTGCATATAAGACGCTAGAAGCGAAAATCGCACCGCATCTCATGACGTCACACATGACCACACGAGAGTGAATTGGAGAAGTATGAAATATGGAAAGCCATGGTATAAACCAATGGCTTCTGTTACCAATTATAGACATTTAAGAATATTTGTAGAGATGTCATAATTGATTTTATTTAGGTTGGGTTTCAACTGTTTGATGTCTTATATGCACGTGTTTATCGTTGCTTAGAAATCATCTATGTAAACATTGACAGACTATCATCACTGTCTTGTCCGTATATTGTTTAATATGTTGTAATTGACATCTTTGATAATGGCTTAAGTAAGCCGAAAGCTTAGATTGTGTTAAAAAAATATGGATCAGTATTGTGAATTTCTTTCTTCGTTTAACGATAATGTTATTAAACTTATCAGATGTTACGAAAAAAATTACATAAAATAAATAGACAACACTTGTCTATATTATTTAATGAAACGTGTATATATATATATATATATATATATATATATATATATATATATATATATATATATATATATGTATCTGTCTTGTTTGTTTTCTTTACATGTTCGGTTGGATTCAACTTGAGTCCGCC